ACGGCACTCCCCCGTTGATGCAGTACACGCCGTACCAGCCGCCGCCGCCGCCGCCGCCAGCACCGGCGCCAGCGCCACAGAAGCTAGTGCCGGTAACCGTGCTGCCGTCCGAGTCCGGCGACGCTGCCGCCGCCGCCGGCTTCCCGCAGCTGAGCTCCGACCAGAGCGAGTCAGACCCACTCTGGGTGGTGGACCAGTGGCAGCCGGAGCCGGCGCCGCCCGTCACCGCCGCCGCCGCCGAGCTGGCCGGTCAGTGGGCTTCGCGTGCGGGCTGTCTGTCGATGAGGACAGAGGCGGCGGCTGGTGGCCGAGGCCGCTCACGCAGGCTAACGGCACGCAGTAGTACAGTTTGTGGAGGGGGTGGGGATTACTGGGTGATACGGAGCAATTTGCGCTACAGAGCAGCAGCGGGGACGTGAACGTAGTACGAAAGAAGCAGTGATGATTGTACCAGGAGATTTGCAAATGGTTTGCGCGGGTTTCATGCTGCCAATTCCTACCAATTCAAGTGCGTCCTTGCTCACATTTCTGTTGGCCAACAAGCTGTCAGGCTGTCTGTTACGCACCACCACGCAGCAAGCGCGCGTCGCGTCATTTTCGGCATCGCACTGGGTCTGGCTGTCGCTGACCCACCCCGGGTTCACGCTCCGGCAGGGCCCAGCCTGGCCGTGAACACCAGCGAGATCAACGCCACGCTGGAGACTCTGCAGTCGCTGCTGTGCCCGTCCGACCTGGCGCAGGTGATCGCGCACAACGCGCAGGACTTCCCCGACGGCCTGGCTGCGCTGCTGGCGCCGTACGGCCTGCAGAGCCCGCAGTCGGCCAGCGCATTTCAGGTACGCCGCGGCGGGGGCGACGGGCGGGCCGGGGCGCTGTGTGCGGTAGGCCAGCCTGCTGGGCTGTGGTAGGCCGCGTATGCGAGCTGCGTACGCGGGGAACAGGGAATGACGGTGATGCGTCGGCGTTGCTCAATGTCCGTAATAATACTTTTCTGTAACGAGAGTTTATAGAATATGACTGGTGCCAGCTGTGCGAGCATCGAAACGACGCTTAAATTCTGGCGCGCGAGCGACGCACGTGCGGATTGAGTCGTTTTGCGTCGGACGCTCCGTTCGATTCCGGCCTCCATCTTCACCCGATCCAATGGTGCCAAACGGTCATTAGGCCCATTTTCATCGTGACGTGTTGGCTGTGGCTCCACGCGTTGCCCTCATTTCTAAAATTGTTTTAAATTGACTTGTACTGGCTAGAACGCATAATATCGAGATCGTAGAGCTCAAACCGTTACTGCCAGAACACCGCATCGGACTATAACAGCCGCTGCGTCCGCCGTCGGCCGCACGGCGCCACCCGCCGGCCGCCACCGTGCGCTCACTAGCGCCGCCTGTGGCGCGCAGGCGTACCAGCCGGAGCAGACGGTGCCCGAGCCGAGCCCACTGCCGTTCGAGTCGGCCGCCGAGTCGGGGCCGAGCGCACAGCTCGTGCAGGCCGAAGCCAGCCTCGGCTCCAGCTTCCTCTCCTCGTCGCTGTCGCTGCGCAACCACGGCTCGGGCGCGACGGTTACCATCAACGAGGTGCCGGAGGCGGCGGCGCCGTCCGGACTCAAGATCGAGCGCGCCCAGCTGCAGAGCCTGACCACGCTGTGCACGGACGTCAGCAGCTCGACGCCGCTGCAGCCCGAGGTGGCCGACGACTTTGATGTCGACTACGACTGGGACTCGCTGCTCTGAGCGGGCAGGCGCGGGGCGCGCCGGGCGCGGCGGCGTGGCGACGCTCGCGGACGGCCTCGAGGCGGTGACGTCAGCCGAGCCACGCGCGCGCACCCCGCTCGCCCCTGCACCGGAGCCTGCAGTCACAAGTGCCTGAGCGGGGGTGGCCGCGCCGCCGCTCGCTTGCGGAGCCGCGCGCCCGGCCCTCCCCGCCGCCCGCACGGGCACGGCCTTTGATGCGGTGTTGTCGGCTGCGGCGGTGGCTGTCGACGCCCGGCGCTTCTTTTGCTGCGCCCTTGTTTGTTGTTTGGTGATATTGGATCCGTGTCACTGTTGTATATAGGCGTTTTCTTGATTGACGATGTTCTGTAGCCGTGCCTTGTTCCGTTTGTGAGAACTTACCAGTTACGAACGAACCCCAGTGCCTGAGAACGAAGCCTTGAGCGGAGCATGGCATTGGACAAGCTTGTTTGGCAGCAATCTCAAGTGAGGCTCGTTTTGCAACTGGCTCTCCTCCAGTCGGTGATTGAATTTTGGTGAGAATCTGACTAGATGTTTATCTATAAACTTTGAAACTAACACAACCCAGTACCGAAAACCGAAGAAATGTGAATGCTTCTTGTGTATTGTTTTGCGCGCTACTGGAGCCGTGTTCTCCGATAGTGCTGTTTCATTACGGGGAGGTTGCAATTCCTGTTTGCTGTTGTGGTCTTGTTCTTGTGTTCTGTTTGGAGAATCCAGGTAGTGAACGGCCGTTGCCACAGCAGGTAATAGATGCATAGGTACTCATCAGACCAATCGATACTCATCATGAGGATGGGAGGCTTCGCTGCCTTGTACTGTTGTTAAGTCCACTGCACGGGAGCAACAGGTGTGTTGACAGCACCCCGCTCCCGTGTCACCAATAGACCAGTTGTGATAGCGGTCAGCAGGCCCGATTTTCATTAATGATCTCGCACTTTATGTTATTGTATTGGACGAAGATATTTGGTTTCACCGCACAGATAATGACAAACCATTACGCTCAAAGACATCCACCTTATTTACTTTTTATCAGTCGCGGAGTGTTTTCGAGTGTTTTTGCCAGCTCATGTTGTGCGTCACCCAGCCAGCGTCGGGACCCAGAACAGATGGATTCGGTCTGGTGAAGTGCAATACGACACGGGACGATTTGAGCGGGTGCAGGCTTGTTGTTTGGATGCTTCGTCATCGTTTGCCCATTACTGTGAAGACGACATGCTGACGAGGGGATGACGGCGGCGTACTCTTGGACCCGCGCCTCAAACCCAGCCATAGCTCGACTGAGCTCTGAGTGCCGTAGATCTGCTGGGGCGCCAGTGCGCCCACAGGCCTTTTCGAGATAAAGGATGTCGTCGCCATAGCTTTTGAACAGCATACACGTGGGGGGGGGGGGGCATTCAACAACCATGGGTTAAAGCCCCAGTCAGTGATACTTCTTTTTACACATTCGGTTCTCGTCTGAAGCCGATGTCTTTCAGAGGACTTCGGTATGTACTCCACGGGACTACGTTTGTTATAGTGACGCAAGCGTAGCAATTATGTCCCACGGTTGCATTCCGACAAAATTTCCCATGAAGCGGACCCCAACAGTCATCGAGTGCAATTAATTTTCAGCCCTGTCCCCCACCTGTCAACTTTCAACGACAGTGATGTGCCTGTCAAGTAAGCATACGGAGTTCGTTAAACGTTGGTCATCTTTACTCGCTGCCTGTCCGATTGTCATTCATTAGCTGGGCCGGTGAGGACTCTCGCCCTGCCTCGGCCTTATTACTGTTCGGAGGGGCACGGAGCGTTGCAGAGCTCAGCTTCGTGGTAGTCATCAGTTACTGTGTTGGAGACAGCCTTGTACTGGCCGTCGCCCTCGCCCAGGAGCCGAAGGCCTGAGCCTGACGCGTGACTTTTCTTGCCGGTCCAGGTCAAAGGGGACGACCGTGGCGAATCTTTAATCGCCCGTTTGTAAACACGACGCAAACGAGGACCCTGCTTTGGTGCAGTGAGGAATGGATATACAAAGTTGCCAGCCAGCCATCTGTTTATGTACACTGTGTCCGGGAGAGGATGGCGGGAGCGTAATTGGCCTGTCGACTGATCATCGGTGTGGTGTCTGTTGAACTGAATACATATCCTTGCCGATACCTAGTATTGCCTGTCGGATGGCATATTGTGAAACATCAATATCGCTTGGTTACCAACCGCATTGCGCCGTACATTCATGCAACATTAATATCGTCCGGTTGCAATTCACAGGCAGGGGAGTCCACCCAACATCTGTATTAACAAACCGGTTAATTTAACACAACCTTTGTCTACAACACAACCGCTTTGCTCGCCAGCCGCCCCTTAAAAGCCACCTGTTTGTTCATGGAACATTGCCATCTTGAATCGGCGATTAGCACCGACAATACTAATGACATCCAATGCTGAAGAGCACAGACGAGGGTAATACAGGAATCTTCTTCAACAGGGAGATAGGGCGGGACGATGCGCTACTCGGAGATTACTTGTCCTTGGTCTGCATGTACTTGATCAGGTCCACCACACGATTGGAGTAACCCCATTCGTTGTCGTACCTGCCGGCACACACGCATCTACAGTGCACGTTCCATAAGGACAAGAGATGGGGCGAACGCCATTTTGTAACATTAAACTAAGCCAACACCAAGGCATCTTCTGCATCGGAGGGATTTTTCAATCTACAACAGTAAGTTTGGAACACGACACGTAGCTGATTGTTTCACCACAAACGATCGTGGCTATGACTTGCGTCCATTGCCCACCGCGGGCTTCCAGCCGTCACGTCCTTCGCCTGCAAGGGCGGGACGGCAAGATATACTCACCAGGAGATCAGCTTGACGAACGTGCTACTCAGCTGAATGCACGCCTTGGCGTCAAAGGTGCTGGAGTGCGAGTCGCTGAGGAAGTCTTGGGAGACCACGTCATCCTCAGTGTAGCCCAGAATGCCTTTGAGCGGGCCTTCGGCAGCCGCCTTGACTTTAGCCTTGATGTCGTCCATGGTGGCCTCCTGACCCAGCCGGCAGGTCAGGTCCACCACCGACACGTCGGGTGTGGGCACGCGGAAGGCCATTCCGGTCAGCTTGCCGTTCAGGTCGGGGATCACCTTGCCGACGGCCTTGGCGGCGCCGGTGGCGGCCGGGATGATGTTCTGGCCGGCGCCGCGGCCATCACGCCAGCTCTGCAACACCGGACGGTGGCCATCCACAACACCCCACACCACAGGAGGCCCGTTCGGCGCTTCAGATAGCTATCAAGCCATCAAATTTGACATGTGGAGCACGAAGCATTGCTGAGACGATTCTTCCATACAGTGCTGCCAGGTATGGTGAGCGTCAGGCGTGGATCCAAGACACCTCGGGGGAGGGGGCGATTCCTTCAGAAAGGGCCCCTGCATATATATATATATATATATATATATATATATATATATATATATATATATAACAGTTTGAGCATGCACGCTCCTTAAGGTGCCAAAACATCAGCGCCGTACGTTTCAGTTTCCACTGGCCGCGCGTTGACGGCCGCCGCAGCAAGCACCCCGCAAGCGGACGATGACGAGCACGCAAAGTGGTGCTTTCCAACACTTCATGGAAATAGTTCGTACGGGGCAGTGATGTCTCCACGTATATCTCACCTGTGAAATTTTCACAATAGTGATCTGACCGGACCAACAGTTACAGCACCACGGCCAGAATCTCAGAGGGCATTGCTTCACTGACGACAAATGTGAAAACCAACAGCTTGTGCGGCAATGCGTCATCAAATTACCTCAGACGACGTACCCAGCTTCACGAGCGACGATTGTAACAGAGATGGTAAGTGACCCCAGCTGCTGAAGTCAGCACGAATCATCCCAGGATGCTTGTAACATAGACTTTTACCGACAAGACGCCTCAATTAATTTTAATCCCTTCATGATCAGTACCACTACACGGCTCAATGTTGTGACTTCCCAAAACACAACACTGGAGAGGTGCATCGCTTCACCTTTCGACGAGACGATGAATAAGTTTTGATTTGCATTTGACAGTGCCGCCACCAGAGCATCACCTGCACCGCAGTTTTCCAATACCATTACCGGCACACTGGAAGTCGCGAATGGCATGTTCACGCGCTTTTTCAGGGTCGTCCAGGCCGAAACAGCTGTCCTTACCATAAACGTTCGGGTCGGTGAAGTCTGAATCGCCCGCAATGGGAGTTCGTTAATATCGCTCGATTCCATATTAAATCAAACCGACTCAAGCCTATGAATATGTTGTGGTGCTGTGATATGTGGATACTTTGCTGCTCATAAGATCCCGAATAGAGTACAGAACCCGGCGAGCAAAGAGAAAAAGCCAAGACCAATATGAAAGGCCGGAACGATCAAAGGTGACCCAGTATGTCAACGCATAGGGCCCTTAGCAGCCGCCTACAGTCCTCGGAGCAAGTGGGAGAATTCCGTGGAGGGCCCGCGAATGACCAAGAGCGCTCTCGTACGTTAACACATAGAGGCCCCCAATATAATCGTAAGGTCCTCTTGGGGAACGGAAGAGCCGAAGACAAATGCAGGAGGCCCCTGGTCCCTGTGATCGAGCACCCGGTCACAAGTCAACATATCGGGCCCCGATCAACGGCGTCTGGCCCCGGATAGGGTGATGGGTTGTAAAACGTTTCCAACAACGACACCCCCACTCAGCCAAAAACATTTTTTCGCCTGCTCTTTGGTCCTTCATCTTTGCTTGCAGCACTTCCTAGTCGCCTGGAGGTCCCAACTCATCATTCTTTTGCGCTTTCTGTCATAGACCCGCACTCTTTCGGCAAGTTTTTAGTCCCTTCGGGGTCCCTTGGATCCCAGGGAAGGGAATGATGAGCCTACTCCCCCCCCCCCCTCGGCCCCACACATGGTGAGCGGCAATCCCGCTGGTTTAATCGCTGTCAGCTTAGGGCGAGCCGTCTCACACACTGTTTTTATGCGCAACCCTAAAAGACGCCACACTACCTGGACATCCACAGGACTATGGCTTCGCTTGTCCCGCTGCGGCCCCTGAGCGCTCCCTCAAAGCTCACCTTGCCGCTGGGTCCGTCCACGGTCTTCTGAGTGGCCGTGGTCGAGTGCACAGTGGTCATCAGGCCCTCCACGATGGTGAAGTTGTCATGAATGACCTTGGCCATCGGCGCCAGGCAGTTGGTGGTGCACGAGGCGTTCGAGACCACCTTCATGTCCGGCTTGTAGGCGTCCAGATTGACGCCGACCACGAACATGGGTGCGTCGGCCGACGGTGCCGAGATGATCACCTTCTTGGCACCGCCGTCAAAATGGGCGCTGGCTTTCTCCGTGGTAGTGAACACGCCAGTCGACTCCACGACGTATTCGGCGCCTGCCTTCGACCACGGGATGTCGTTGGGCTTCATCTCATTGAAAACAGCAATGCGCATTCCTGCAAAATCAGTGAGCCGCTTAGCTCAGCTTTTTGTGCCTGACAGGTTTAGGTTACCGAAGATGACATCGGATGAGATGTGAGAGATGAGAGATGGGAGTAAGATGCTGCGAACCCGAAATGACCAAGCGAAGTTACCACAGATCAGATGGCATGGGCCAACGCGCCGATGGGGCTTGGCTTGGATGGGATCACAGCATTTCGGTCAGCAATGGCCATTCCACGGCTACGGGATGCAGGAGAGCGGAGGGTGGTGGGACAAGATTGCATGCACCTGGAGTCCTCTGCTACCGAGACGTATCCCGCAAGGGAAGCCTTCTTCGAGATGTATGCAGACTCGGACGGGGCATCGACCAGCCGGCCAGCTGGCCAATGGTTTGCCACATGTACTGCTCTTCAGCCCATCCGGGGGCATCGCCGCCGCGCAAATTAACTATGAAGTGGGTACGATATCGTGTGACGAGTGGTACCAGCCTACCGTTCACTACGAGGTACTCTCCGTCGATCTTGACTTCGCCCTTGAACCGGCCGTGTGTGGAGTCGTACTTAAACATGTAGACCATGTACTCCAGGTTGATGAAGGGATCATTCACAGCCACGATCTGAAAACAATTTCGCCATCGGTGACATTACGTACAACTGTCAGAATTTTAGCTTCAACAATATCTACTGCGAGACACGTGACCACTTCCCTTTAGCTCCACATTTGCATCCCCTGCGATCCGGATCATATTGACATCCACACCACGTAAAATTCTTGAAACACTAGCGTGGCCGCAGTTTACAGAAACGATATTCTTATCTGCAGGATCCCTTTTCTACAGATTAGGCGAAGTTTGTTCTCAAACTTTCGGAAATTCATGACAAAATGTTTTCGGGTACGATACAGTCCTGACAAGCTTCGGCTTCAAATGCACGCACTATTATTTGTGCGCATGACTCTTAGCCATTTAGCAAGAACGGAGCAGATTCCGAACACCCGTTTGTCCTCAAAATATCCACAAAATGAGAGAAAAAAAAATCACCTATCACAGCATAGTATCCAAATGCCCAACTGATGGCACCAACACCACATTTGCCATACTAGCCCGGGAATTTTGACCACGTCATTGAGCCTGTCAGCTAATTTTCTACATCCAAGTGCAAGTCTAGCCAGACCCACTTTTAATCGGTGGCTGCCATCAAACGAAGTATTAGTGCCTATGGTACCGCACGAGATAACATCTATAAATGACGACGTATTGGCTCAGCGCCAACCAGTGCCAGCCATGTTTTGCCAAATTCCGCTCGAGAATGGCCGTAAGCCCACGACAGCCAGCTGGTTGGCGTGGGTCGTACGCAGCACCGTTGGCCGCCGAGAGTGCGCGCCGTCGGCCAATTCTGCTCGTGACAGCGGCATGCATAAGCGATGACGAGGCTGGCGGGCTATCGGGTCTGCGCAGCGGTCACGTAACTACGCACTTCTGGCGGCTGGACGGACGCCAGTTGGTGAGTGGGGAGGAGAGTTGGCGTGGTTCTGAGCCCAAGGAGTTTATCATATTTTCACAAAACATCACCTGGTCAAAACTCAAGGTTTGGGTCCAAGACGTACGGATCCACTACCACCGCTCATTACTAGCGGGGTGACCCGAAGAAATAGCTGAAGCATTCCAGAAGCGCGGAGCCAAGAAATCCGGCGCCACGGATCGCATCTAACGGCGACAACGAGTTCAGTGCGTTTAGTGGTTCGTGGACGTGAGACGAGGGAGGCTGCCACGGGCGTCACAGTCATCCACCGCTATCACGCAATTGCGTAAAAAACGAAGCCAATGAAGCCAGACATCTTTGGCAGCCGACACTAAGAAGTTTGGCCGATGCGTTTGAAAGCCTGTCGCTCACGAGAGATTAACTGGCGGAAATCCGAATATGCAAAACGTGTGCTCTTTTTCATTCACGTATAGCATTACTTGAAAACGGCCGACCATAAGTCTGGTCAAGGCTGGGAGCTTTTAGTTCACGAAATCGATAAATTTGCGATGATTTGCAGTCTTGGCGATGTTAACCCAGGTAACCAGCGCGATAAATACGAATATTTTGCGCAAACATTGGCCACAATAAACCACTTCACGCCACTGTAATTTGCGTGGCCCCATATTTGCTTCACACTCGAGGTAAGTTTCCAAAAGGGTGACACAAGTCGTTCCCGGTCAAAAACTAGCGCACCTAGGTATTGCATGAGTTTTTCCAGCGTTTAGCCCGCTGTAGTCGCTACATCCGCCTAAACTGTGCTGTTCGTTTCACGCTTTCATCTGCTTTAGTTACTAAGATCCGACATAACTGTTTAAAAACGGCCCCAAAAATGTGCTAATCCATCGCTTGTAAGCGCCAGCACGTCACTGTCCACACATGATTGGACCAATACAACTCTCAGGTTTAAGTGGAATGCTCCCAGCGCTACCAAACACTTGGTACCTGGAACATAACAAACAGTACGAATATTTAGCAAATATTGTGTACACAGCAAGCAGGCAAGCCCATTTGTGATGGAATAAGAGTACAGTGTGACGCCCCCTTTATCTGCTGTGCGCAGCATTTGCACCCCAGTTGAAGGAACGTAGCTTACCTGGGCGCCCTTCTCGATGGCGGCCCTCATCACCAGACGGCCGATGCGGCCAAAGCCGTTAATTCCGATCTTAGACATGGTGAACGGATCTGCGCCCTGGAAGCAGATGCGTGGTCAGTACGCACTATCCTTTTTCACCGACCTGCAGACAATCTGTAATGCACAAACATAAATCAAACATTTTACGACGTTAAAAAACAACGTTCGAAGAACAGCTGACACATGGTAGAAACGTGACTGAGCTTCTGATAGACAAAAAGAAGCAAAGCACACATTCCCTGCAAAGCCGCAGTTGGTGCGAACGATGCACCGAGTCAGCGAACTACGCTATCAAACAATATTTTGCATTACCAGGTCCTCTATCTAGTTCCTTCGGTTTATTTAAGAGCGGTTCAGCCAACCCAGGAATGAATACTTGTTTAATGAAATGCCTAGAAGGCTGTGAAATTTTCCATTCGCGTGATACATTCCATTCTGTTGGACGGTCGCTCCTTCAGCTGGATCCTGCAAAACTATGGCTACAACAAGCCCGCCAGAAACTAGCATGCCGTGGAACTAATAAAACTATGGCAGCGCTTTACGCCAAAACGATACGCCAAACCGACGGTGCGTGAAAGAACAGCGCAGTAATGGCAACATTCCATCACTAGGGGTTTGTTCTGGTTGAAAAACTAATCTATGCATTTGCAATCTTCGCCATGCTTAGACAAAAGAACATTCGAAAGTCTCTTTGACAGGCTCAATTACGTTACCACAATTAACCGGGACGTCCCGAAAACAACGCCAGTAGAAAGGTTCGCAACGGAGCAGAATAAACGATGTCCTACCGATGTAGCCTACCTCAGTCGCACAAACACGTCAGCGAGATCCAATCACGTTCGTTTATGAAAATGAGGATGCACTCAATGAGCGGAGGGCGCATCAATCAGCACAATGTCGAGCTGAAGGAACTGCGCACTGCCGCTTCCAGAGATTATTCACTGGTCCACTGAACACATGTATAAAGATGTGCAGCACGTGGCCGAGATATCCGACGCAAAGATGAAATGTCCTGAACCTAGCATAAAGCACCCCATACGTCGTGAGACCGCACTAACACATGCCGTATCCAGCACCACGCGCGTCATGAGACACGACGCAGAGGCTCCTGGAACAACTAACAGTCACGCCCAAAATAAGCATTGCACACCAGACGTGGTGTGGTTCCAGCTGGCTCCAGAGGGTACGTGGGAGGAGGAAGGGGGGGGGGGGGGGGGGGGGGGGCGCACAAAGTCAATGCCGGGGATAAAACACAGATGTGCCGAGAAATGGGAGCATCGCGAACCACGCTTCCACCCAAAGGCAAAAGTTATTCTCAAGAAGCAAGCGATCCATTTCATGCTCGTCGTATACAAATCATCGGTGCCAAATTGAGGAAACGAGTGTACAATAAGCACCATGGTGAAATATGTATGAACTGATAAATTTAGGAGACAACTTTATGCGTTTAACAATGGTTCACGTCGCACAGCGGCGTGCAGCTATCCGTACATGGCGCAGTGAGGTATCATCGCACTTTCCAGGGACCACAATGTCCTCCATCATAGCAGCCAGGCCGAACAGAGGAAGCCGCCACTCCTAATGTAAATAAACTGCGGCAAGTAACGCCAGGCCGGATGGACGCCCTGGAGCGCTGTTCCCTGTCCGCTCCGGGCCAGCGGCGCGGCCACGCGTCACGGGCCAGCCCGCGCCCGACGAGGGCCGACCGGTCCGGCTGGTTCATTCGGCAGCCGACTGGCGGCGGGTCCGGAGGGAGCGCGCAGGTCACCCGCCCCGGCTAAATAAAGCCGGTGCGCGGCGCTCGAGACGGCGGGCACTCGGCGCGCTGCCGGCGCAGGAGGGGCCGGCGCTTCCGGCCACCGAGGTGCAGAGTGATGTGGCAGGCAGTGGTGGTGGCTGTGCTCGCCAGTGCTGTGCCCATTGTCGGCCACCGTGAGGAATCAGAGCCGCCCGTCAACAACTGTGAACCACGGCCAAGCCAGCAGCTCTCGGCCAACGTCGTGGTGTCCGAGGGAAGTCGGGCTGTGCTGCGGTGTGACCTGGATTCGCGCCGGGCCACCACCACCTGGGCTCACGTCGACTCGCATCGGCAGCTCACGATGACCATCAACTCGTACGTGCACCTCAGCGGGCCGCGCTACCGGCTCGTCAACGTCAGCACGCCCTGGCCACACTGGGTGCTGCTGATAAAGAATGTGCACGCCGCGGACGCCGGCCTGTATCGCTGCAGCGCCATCTACGAGACGGGCAACACCATCTCGCCAACCAGTCGGTTGGTGCGACTGACCGTCGTCTCGCTCCGCCGGACAGTCATTGGAGGGCCCAGTAGTCGGCACGTTCACGAGGGAGGACAACTGCGCATCAGCTGTGCTGTTAACGGCAGTGACCACGGCGTGACATGGACGCGAAACGGTGCCGCGATCAGGCCGGACGGGGTGCGTGTTACGACAAGCAGCAGTCAGGTGTGCAGTTTACTGACTGTAGACAATACAGTGAAGGAGGATGAGGGTACATACGGATGCCACGCGAAAGGGCTACATAGTGATAGCATTGAAGTTCAGGTGGCCCAGTCCTTAGGAGACGGGGGGTCAAATAGGAATGCTTCCAACAATTTGACACACGACGCATATCAAATGCTCACTGTCATTGCTTTGGTAGCGGCAGAGCTTTACACATTATGTAAATGAGTGCATGGTGTGCATTTTACGCACCATGCACTACACATGCACATTTAATGGTTATTGCCGAACTACATAATTTGCACACCTTATTCCCTTTGCAAGGGAGCGAGGGCCACAAAAAACTTCCAATAGTTTTATGAACGATGCTCGTGCCGAATGTTTGCTATCGCTGTTTTGATAGCGATAGAGCTTTACACATTGATACATATTTTATGACCTGTGCACGATATCTGGACGTACTGTTTTGATAATAAAAGCGCCTCATGTATGCATTACATAAATGCTGTCTATGAACATTACAAAATACTGCATTACTGTGAAATGGAAGAGGTTAACTCGCCGGATCATGGCAGCCAGAAAAATATTCGTGACACAAAGGCTTGTGGACAACTGGAGAGAGCTATCAGACTGAGAAACCTATTTGTGTCTGGCTAATAACCGGGAGGGGCATTCAAGGGGAGTGGTTATACTAGCTTTCGTCAAGCTATGCATATACTGCATGATAACAATTTACCTTATTTCTTCCACGCATGAGCGCTGTGATCACCAGTCAGGTCCTGGTGGAAGTGAGCCGGTAGAAACCAGCCTTTATCCCTCGCTTAAGACAAGGGCACAATGATGGTTCGCAAAACCCTGACCATTTCTTCAAAAGCCACATCCTCCGCAGCCTTAAAGAGAGACACTGATGACCACTGCTGCATCGCGTCACATACGTCCATCGCAACTCACCTGTCAATCAGCTGATGGGAAGAGGCGATACCAAATAGAGCGAAGACAACCGGCGCTCAAGTTGATCGGAACGGTACAGATTGATCAAAATGTATTACAGATTGGATATCAACCAATAAAAGGCTGTAAAAGCAGCAACGATGCCGGGGAGAAAGTGCCCACCAGACAAGCTTGTCTGTCGTTGCCAATTCGACACCGTACTTAAAACAAACAACCCAAATGTTGTTTTTTTTATCCCGCACGTGGTTTATTGCTCTAACCTCTTACAATGAGAAAAGTGACACGTTTTTCCCAGGCAAATCTATTAGACCCATACCGAGATTACGTGGCTCCATTCATAAACTCTTACTCACTCGGGAATATTTTAAGCACTGCGTGACTGTAAAAAAATCGTTATGACAATCGTATTGGAGTGATGGATAGTGATGGACGCAGTGGCATTGTGCCGATTGTTATAGTGAAAAATTATCGAAAATCACGCCACACGTCACGCAGCTATGTGCATAACGGTTTCAGAATACCATAATTTTTTGTGATGGAATACGTGTTGCACGTTTTTGACCTCTCTTTTCAATACCCGTAAACAACTGTTATTTGACTGTTGCACGTCAAATCTGAAACGATCCGAAGTGGAAAATTGTTTATCATCAGCGAATTACTTCAACAATTAGCCTAGACGTTTCAACAAACATTACACCCCGAAACGCTGCCGTTATGCCATTATATCACACATTAAGGCGACAAAACGTTCGAGGAACAATTGCCTAAATCACCATCAAATGTTTTTATATTCGGTACGAAGGGAACATCACATTCCAATGGGAAACGGTTAAATTTGAACAGTACGCAAAAGCTTCAAAATGCAATCTGCATTTTTTCAACAACAAGCGGTCCCTTCCCCTTACTGCCCACACCCCTTGGAAAGGATGTTATGGGCCTTGTGACTTGAAAATCACGTAAAATGCCACCCCAAAACCGATGATTTTCGGATTGAGTGTATCCCGGAAGCCCTGCACACCAAATTTGGAGGGAATCGAGACGCCCGCAATATAAAGCTGGAATGCATCGATCTTGTAAATCGCAAGCCACGCAAAACCCCAGCCTAAAATCTGTGATTTTCGGAATGAGCGTGTCGGGGAGGCTCTGCACACCAAATATGGGGGCCAAAAACACCACGAAACATCGGACTGGCGATATCACGCGTCTTGTCACTCGGAAGTAGCACAAAATCCCACCTCACAGCCTATGATTTTGGGAATCAGCGTGGTGAGAAGGTCCCATGTGAGAGAAGGCAATATCCAAATGGCAGTCGGATATCAATCTGTCAGATTGACGCAATGTCTCCCTTCCTGTGACGCATTGAACACACTCGATCAAACTCAACTATCCCTACATGCGCAATGTAACGTAAGAAGATGGACGGGCCCTTACAGACACCTATTCAAGGGTTCTGTCACCACCAATTCCACACGGAACAAGAGCAAGTAGCCCATGCGTGTCACCACTGGGGCATGCCCCTCAATTTTCATAAAATGAGATCTGGCTTACTGCGATTTTTCGGCACACTACACATTCTTCGCATTTTTCCACTCGAAAAAGTACGGTTTTTCAGTTCAGGCTCTCCCCACTATAATCAAGTTTGACCCCCTAATTCTGATCTCCTCCCCCCCCCCATCCCCTACGTGTGGTCTGGTAGGTACAATCATGTAATATCGGACTTATCGGACTATTAATCATGTAATATAACATTTTTAACAAGACCTAGGCATTCCAGCAGCCTTCACCCTGCAGTGCGGCAACCCGGGTAAGCACTTAGCACACAGACGAAATGATATGCATGCACGTAAATAGCGCAAAAAGGTGTGTTAAACTCACACAAACTGGAAGGAATGCACACAGATTATGCATTTACTCCACGGAAACGGATGTCGTATAGACGGTCATTAATGGAAATTACCGATTGAAAACCAAGATGTTCAGTACTCTTCACGGATTGTTTACTTTAGAAATGCGCCAAACAGCCAAATTGCACAAAATACTTCGTTAATCCCACCACCGAAGGCAACAACACATTTAACCTTCACCAAGGTCAAACTTCCGCGAGCCAAGCAGAATTTAAGCACATGAACTATAATAATTATACGATGAACCATTTTTTAAAGAAACCACATCAAATCCATATTTGAGCACTATCCACGTTTTAACTCCGATATTTTTTTTCTCGAATTCACTACTTTTAATTTAACTTTTTCTAGCAACAAAAACTGATTTCTTACCACACTTGCCCTTTTATTCTTTTAGCACTCGCTATCTCAATTTTCATTGACTGATGGGGCGCGATCATGGGCCTTTAATAGTATGTGCGTTATACACCCTCTCCCCCCCCCCCCCACACACACACACTCGCACGCCAGCATTCCTTCTATGCGGCGAAGGCCGCGTGCACATCATGCGTCAAATCCTTTAACACACATTTGGGGAAAACTTAGGTTCCCGAGCCATCGGAGACCCCGCCTCCCCTCCGAATGTCATTTACAGAAATTAGCGCCTCTGCGCGCACCTTTTGACGTGCGTGGCCTTACTCAGAACGCTTCTCAATAGACATTCGAATAATACAAACGATGCGCTATCCCACTGTTAAGACACTCGTGGAAGCAAAGCCGCTTACTGGTTGAATTTTGCCGTGCCTAACCGACAAACCAACGCAGACGGGACCAACCAACACATTTTGTGTCTCAAATTCGTGCCCCTGGGATGGCGCCGAAAATGTCCCTGAGCCGTCGTCCGCCGTGATTTTCTCTTTCATTGTTTCCCGCTGAGCCCTCGCAACGGCTATCTCTCCGCCGGCGTTCTGCAGCCGAGCTCTGCGTCAGTCCTGAGTGAGCTTTCCGGCCGGGCTGGGCGGTGTCCCACCTCAGCAACCGCGTGCACGCAGAAACCGGGTCCCCACCATGCGAGTGGGATTAGGGAGCGGGATACCAACGGCTGCCCCGCCATTATCCCACCACTTGCCTTTTTCCTTACCCATACCTCCTAGATGGCTGATAGCGGCGGAAGTGGTTCTAACGTTGCCAATTCAAGCGCCTTGCTAACCACCCAGACGTTTTAATGGATGATACTCACCTTGATATCCATGGCGTGGCCAACGCTTGACCAGAAGGGGGCCGGATTGGGGCGCCGGGGGTCCATTGAGTCGAGGAGGCCCGCACTTATTTGCCATAGGGCCCTGCTTTGTATTTGGGTGACTTTTGGCCTCGGTGTCCCATCGTGATGCCTCGTGGAGCTGTTTCATGCTTTAGAATCCACAAGGACGTCTCGAACTGTCAAAAAATATTGAGGCCTTCGGCTTCAGGGGACTCAACGTCACTTTCAGGACGGGGAGGGGGGGGGGGGGGGGCGGCGGACAAGCCTATTAAGTCCCTGGTTACGGCTGCGCGCCTGGTACCCGCCGCCCACCGATAACATGCAGATATCAATGTATGGCCATGACTGCCCGCGCCATCGGTATGTAACAAGCCTATATGAGTTACTTGTCAGCAAGTGATCATGCTTTTTAACCCGCCGGTCGTATCTGCCAATGCAAATGATTGGCAAGTAAACCAAAGATAAGCCTCGCTGAACATAATGCATTTTATTATGTGTAAGTATGAACTCGCATGTCAGTGCTAGCTATTGTCAACGCAATCAGCAGACCCAAAACGATAAAAAGCGGTGCCCCCCCCCCCCCCCCCCCTATCAATCCTAGAGAATACCAACCACAAAAAAACATTGGTGCATTCTGTCGGTGCAAAATGCTGTGCTCGACGCTCACACTAACTTAGCTAGTTGGTGAATGCACAACGTCCCCACACTCACCATCGCCGTACCCATTAACGAGCCTAGGTCAACACGGCCGCAGGCCTACGGGCCATCCGTGGAAAGAGGCCGCTGCATCCAGAACGGGAAAGAAGCGCGGCTGGCGAGCACGTTCGCCTAGTGATTGACTTGTCAATATTCATTACCTCTTGTCGACTCCGGCGGATGTCTTCGGCTGCTAGCCTGGTCAGGTCCTAAACACAGCACAGAATAATTGACGTAAGACTCGGCGTCCAACGCCGATGACAGAGTGCCCGTGTCTTGGTTGGGTGGCGGAGATAAAGACGATTGATTTTTTGCGGGGCGTATTGGCCACGGTGGCTATTTCACGCCCATGGCAGAGATCCTGAATAGAATACAAAATATACTTTATTCATATCATAACATGACACGTTACTGGTGACAACCCATCGCTACCGACGCTAAATCATCTTCGCGTTTTATTCATTCTAAGAATACAGCATGGCCGTCCAGTTTGGATGAGGTACCTAGCAAACGGGGTCTGCAGAGCCCAGAAACCCATCCGCCTCCCCCGAAACCCTCGGCGCAGATGGCGCGAGGAGCCGCCCGCCGCACACACACGGACCACCAGATATCGAACACCACGGCTTCATTGCCAGCCACAGTCAGCTCGCGGGTAGCAGCGCCACGTGCGAGCCGGGGCGGGTCGGGGGCACACGATCGAGCCGGAAAGAGGGCGACCCAACCGAAGCCGGAGGCGCGCCGCCTGCCAATTGGGGTTCAAAGTCGATCGGCCGGAGCCCTGGAAAACGGCGTCCAACACGGGATGTCGCCCCGCACCACGCGCGGTAACTCCACAGCACCACTCCGCACTGCTCGCCCATCCGCCGGCCGCGCGCCGCACCCCTGGCGGCGACCAGCGCAGTCAGCGTTTTGCGCGGCGGCCGGCCGGCCGGCGGCGCCACGCGCCGCTCAAGCGTTCTTCCCGGAGAGTGTGAGGCGCGCCACACCGGCGGCCGCCGCCACCGGTTCCTCCTCGTCGCCGGGCTCCTCTTCGACAATCGTGTGACTCTCGTCCTCACCCAGCAGGTCACCGTCGGCGGAGCCCGCCGCCTCGCCGCCCGGCGCGCCCTTCTTAGGCACCCTCATCGTGTACTCTGAAACGAATCAAACGGCGCTCAGCGCTGGGCGCAGGGGCAGCGAGAGCGCGCGGCCGACCGGGCAGGTGCCTCGGATGGGTGGCCCAGTCAGCGGAGAGGGGCAAATGAGACGGCGGAGGGATGCCACCGCGCAAGCCGCTCGCTGCTAAATGTAAGGTGAATGTGCAGTCAGTCAGGAGTAATGACCACGACCATGAACGACACCTGACTTTAGACGTCCAAAGACCCAGACCGCCGTCCGCTGTAGACAACGCACATGTCACCGTCAACGCAGAACGCCGCAAATGCTTCAACGTTCACTGGCGCGTCCAGCGCACCAGACATTCGTCGAAATGCCAGTGCAAGCTGCGCGCGGGCGCGCGCAGAGACCGTGCCCTACCGTGCGGCCGGATGACCAGAGCGTCCAGGATGTCGGACAGCGATATGATGCCGATCACATGCTGGTGGTCATCCGTTATCACCAGCCGGTGCACCTCGGCGTGCACGATCTTGTCCACCACCTGGCGGGCGGCGGCGGGGATGGCGCGTCAGAGCCGCTGGCGACAGCGTCAGCTCGTGGACCAGGCGGCAGCCGACCGGGCGCCGCGCGATCGCACCCGCGGACAGCCCGTCAGCGGAACGAGTCACAACTTCGGACCGAGGGAGCTTGAGTGCTGGTGGATGCCCGCAAGCGACCATTGCTATCTTGATTTATCACGTGCCGACAAATTTGTTGCAATAAAGCAAACAATGGGCTTCCATTTTAAGTGCAGTGCGGCGCCCGATACAGGCTATTGTCACTTCACAGCACACACACCAGCGCTCATACGAGCCGCCGGCAGGTCACGCCACGCGGCCCCGATACAGCTCATGGGCGCCGGGTGAGAGTCGAATTTTCCCACCCAGGAGCAGCCATTTGAGAACACCTGCGGACCATGCAGGCTTGAAGCAAGCCCGCGCGGCCAAAGCGCACTGCTGCACCACCCGGGACACAAATCGGGCGCAACCAAACTCCACAACACGGGAGCAGAGCCCCTCCACAAAAGGCTCTGCCCCGGCACAACGGCGACACCTTGGCCCGCTGGCCACCCGGCAGCCGGCCGCTGCGCCGGGAGGAGAGCACCACCCACCTCAGACAGCGTGTCGGAGAGGCAGCACGCCTCCACCTTCGTGTCGGAGCGGTGGGAGTTGGCCGCCATCAGCGGCACGTTCAGGTTGTTGTAAGTCTTCTCGGCGGCCAGGTTCTGGCGGCGGCAGCGGAGACACGTCACGGCACAGCACACGGGCTCCCGAGGAGAGAGGAGTCGGCGACACCCGTGAGAGGGACCGGTGACTGGTGGTAGGGAAGCCGGTGGGATGGGCTGCCAGACCCGTTCAAGCTGGCATCAGAATTACATTTTTGCGGTATGATGGACATATCGAAATCCAGCCAGAAGTGCTGCAGACGGCCAAAAACGTCCGATGCATGGGTCTCGAAAGTTACAGATCGAAGACGCAAGCGCAGATACTGCTTACGACACGCTTCATACCATCTTGGCAAGTCACAACCGTTCAGAAGAACGTCAGGATTTCCGAGAACGCACCAGCGACTGATCGATACCAGACACAGCCGCCACAGTCATCAGAACTTGGCAGTCGAGACGGAACCGAACGCAGACGCCAAGTGCGATTAACCAAGAAGAGAGCAGGCAGCCATTTCAGAACGCACAACATCTGCTCCGGGCCCTGCTAACTCCAATCGGACGACGAGCAATTCAATGTGGTGCTGCGCCGTGGCTGTCGATCGCAACAGCCATTCAAATTGATCCAACATTATACACAGGTATTCATCTCATCTTTACCGCGTGGTCTCTAACGAATATCGTAAAGCGGGCCCTACAGCAGATAAAACGCCCTCGCCTCAATCACCCCAGAAAACAAACAGAAAAACATGTAGAAAAAGCAACGTGAAAAAGCAACAAGCACAGCAAATTGTACTCACAAATTTGCAGCCCAACCCGCCACACTCCCTCCGCTGTCGGCGACGACAGCCGAGAGGCCGCCCCAGCCACTCACGATCACATCGAATTTGGCGTAGATGTGCGTCAGCTTGTTGTCCTGGTCGACGATGGGCAGCGCCGAGACGCGGCGGTTCACAAACTTTGTTAGCGCCTCAATGACGGGCGTGTCGGGCCGCGCCGTCTCGATCTTGTCGAACGTGCCAATGCGCAGCTCGCCCAGCGTTCGGTTTGTAAAGCTCGGCCGCGGCAGGTTGTTGATCTGCGCCGCAGAGGAGCCAGCAGTCAGCAGACGTGACGACCGAACTCCATAAAACACAAGCAGTGCGGATGCTCGGGTATTACACAAGGGACGTCTTGCCATGGTCAGAGCTGTCTTTACCACTAAATCCAGCCGAAATCTTCCTTTTTGTTAACATTAAAATGGGATTGAAAAGGCGGCATACCAAACAGAAATAAACAGCGTGCAGTACGACGATCCTTCCTCAATTTCAGAGAACCAGCAACAGGTCCTCACGATCTACACTCGTCCCCGGCTGTTATACTTGAACCCATGCTTAGCCGGGCAAAAGCAGAAGCGTTCGCGGGATGCGACGAAGAACACCCCCGATGAACGCGGGTCACATCCCGTCAAGCCACCGACACAGGGCGGAAGACACGCCTGCCGGTGGTACTGCTCGGGTCACTCACGTATAGGCAGAGGAAGCGGAGGATGCGTTTGTGGGTGATGATGTAGAGCACGTCTCCCGAGACGGGGTCGATGACGGGTAGACGGTGGATGCGGTTCTTCAGCAGCGTCGTGATGGCCTCGTACAGAGACGCCTCCGGCGCGATGTAAATTAGCGGCTTGCTGTCCGACTCGAGCACAGCTGCAGCGCAAGGCACGGCTCGGTCACGTCACGGGGAAGCCAGGTCACACTGGGGGCCAGGGGTCACAACAGGGGCGGGTCAGGTCACGCTGGGTCATGTCGGGGATCAGGTAGGGTCAGAGCAGAGGTCAAACTGAACCAACTAGCTGGTGGAGCAAGACGCCGGGTGGGTCATATCGGAGAACTGGGTCATATCGAGGCCACGCGATAGATACCAGGTCAGATCGGGGAACGTGAGGTCATTTGGAACTTCAAATAAGACGGGAGGACCAATCAGGTGAGGTCAGAAAGTTGGGAAACACATGATGAGAGGCCAAACCAGGTTACAGCAGAGTTTATGGGCTGATTGTGCACACGCGACTCTGCCACGACGACAGCCATATTCACATGGACCCAAAGGCGGGACGAGACGGCAAAACGTATGAGATGTGGCGCGATTGGAAACAGTCATCACTCATAAATGACAACACTTGGCATCCACAGACAGAAAACACGCATATCCACAGCAAGCGGACTGCTGTACCCCAACAGCCATTTATTTAAAAGAACTGCCACCAGCGCCGTCCCAACTCCTAGATAATAAACGCATTACAACTACACACCGCTCTACATCCCAGGCAGCGGTTCTACATCCTACGAATGCCTGAAATCCGAGCAATGTCGCCACCTTCAATAGCCTCAACATCAAATAACGTACAACACCCCCGCTCTCCGCTCCGGGGAAGCAGCATGACCCGCCAGCCCTGAACCAGGTCAGCCCGATCCACTTCCAGGCAGTCACCCATCGAGCGGGCCCCTCAACGCCGCCCCACCTGGCCTGCCAACTGCGCATCAAAACCTCCACCGCTTCGCGTGCAGCGGCGGCCTGCGCTGCGACGCGACGGGGTGATGTAGAGGCCGCCGCGGGCCACAGTCACTGCCAGAACGCATCCAAACGGACTCATTGGACCGGCGATTCGTCGAATCCAGCGACGAAGCCGTCTGTTCAGTGGGGCCGGCCGGGCGCCGGCCCCGCCCCGCGCCACTCAGGCCACCGCGGCCCGGGTAAATGTGGCCCGACGGACAGATGGCCGGTCGGGTCAAGAGTGTCTTGACGCTGACCCCTCTGCGGCGCCCGCCTGGAGTGGCCGGCCCGCTCCCCCATGGGGTCACGCTCCGGGGGTCATTTCAGGGATGCAGTGCAAGCAGACGCCTTGGCCGGCTAGTCCCAACGATGGCAGATTGGTCCCACCGGTGGGGGATTCTCAAATGAGCTGTAGCAGCCCGCATATGGAATCACATAGAGACTGATCTAGTCACGACTCGTGTGTCAAAACATGTAACCACAGCCTTTAGCCCAAGAGCCGCCCACGAAAACGATACAACTCTTGATAATAGACTCCAAGCAACAGGGCAAGCCGCACAGGACACTGACATGACTTGGTTCCGAGAACCCTCACTAGCATGACAAGGCTGAAGAGGTGCACCTCTCCCCAATCGCCTGTCTCGGTCCGACCTTGTCCGTCCCGGCACGGTCCCACCAACGCGACGCGCCCTGGCCCCTTGGTGTCGGCGGAGCTCTCAGGACGCCACAATGACCCCGGGCCTCCTCGCACCCGCCCAACGTTTCTGCATGGTTTCTTCAGCTGAAGTGCCTCAGTTTTATTTACTCTCCCCCCCAAAAAAAAACAACAGAAAAGCAGCAAAAAGCATACCTTTCTGCACCGTGAAATAAATGTGCCACGGGCATGGCGATTCCTGCTACCTGTATACAATGGTATATATCCAGTTACCAGGATATATACCATTTACGTGTCACGAACACGATTCCTGACCGGTTACCAGGACTGTACGTTCAATACAGCAGGCTTAATGGGAACAAAGGTCGACAACCAAAGATACCCAATACAAGACAAGATACCAATACCGATAGAACTAGAAACCAAGAAAACAAAGGGCAGGGTTTCATAATTATATGCGTGCTACGCCCATGTCGTCATGATACGAAGTAGCCTTAATCAACACGGAAATAACATCGCACAGCTTATCGCTCCAAAAACACATCCTGTTAAAGACGGCTTAGGGAAGAGGAATTGAGTTTGGATAGAGGTTTCCACTGAAGTCCCTGATCCTGCCACCCCTGTCCACCACCAGTGAAATGGCTAATGGTCATCACGAAGACGTCGGCGCGACTCTCGCCCTTTCCAAACGACCTTCAATCGTCCCAATCCAAGGCCGCATCGCCACCGCCGGAGCGAATGCGCCATTTAGAAACCACAAGTTATCGAATAAGAGATTAGAGGGAGCCGCTTCCGAACCCAGCCCCGCCGAGAGCAGGCATGCACGCCATGAGCTTTCGTACCAAGACGGAGGGCGGCAATTCTCCGAGAGCAGCCCACGGCCGGAGCGGCAGTACGTCTCACGATCCAGTACCCCTCTCCTCTTCCCCACTCTATCCGGTCGTCCGGGGGGGGGGGGGGGACTGTTACGCAGTCGTAAAGCTGAGCGAAACGCGACGATAAAGCCGGTCCGACGGCGCTCGTCCGGCCCCGTGCCACATGAGCGGCTCCTGCCGTCATCCTCCGCAAGCTTACGGCACGCTGGAGCGTTCCGCGAATGTTTACGAAGGACGACGAAATTCGGCGTCGGGGCCGCTCCTCGCTATGCATGCACGGACACCGGAACCGGCGGTCCCGCGCCGCCATCCGCCGCCTTCCTTCCGGCCCCTCCCATCATCGGGGACACGAGGTGAGGCGGTGCGCCCCGACTCCGACCCCGGCCCCTTCAACCATCAGGGACACGAGGTGAGGCGGTGTGCGCCGACCCCGGCCCCTTCCATCATCGGGGACACGAGGTGAGACAGTGCGCGCCGACCCCGACCTCCAGACGAGCGACTCGACGCGTTGCAAATCCGGCCGGCGCCTGGGAGACGCGGTCGGCGCCATCCTGTGCCAGACAGCAGAGAGCCCGGCCCGCAGGCGTCCAACCCGAGCAATCCGCCGCCTGATCCGCGGCCGCGCGGGCTGGCAGAGCAGACACTGCCGACGAGCGGCCACTGGGGCTGGCGGACGACGAGCGGCCGCTGGGGCTGGCAGACATCGCCGACGAGCGGCCGCTGAGGGTGGCAGACATCACCGACGAGCGGCCGCTGAGGGTGGCAGACACCGCCGACGAGCGGCCGCTGAGGGTGGCAGACACCGCCGGCGAGCGGCCGCTGGGGGTGGCAGACACTGCCGACGAGCGGCCGCTGGGGCTGAAAGACACTGCCGGCGAGGGGCTGCTGGGGCTGGCACGCTGCCGACGAGCGGCCACTGGGGCCATCGGAGCGAGCCGCTGCATGCGGCGGCCGCTATGTCGACCCGGCCAGGCTGGCGCGGCACGCGGGTGGGCCACGGTTAACGAGCGCGCGATGAAGCGGCGTCCACAGCGCCGACATTGGCGGGCGCTCTTGATGTGCGCCGCCGGCGACGAGGCGCCCGTCACGAGTGCACGACATCAACGCCAAGGGCAACGCCACCCAACGTCAACGTCAACGTCAACGTCATTGATGCCGTGTCATTCGTTGGACGTGGCCCAGGGGGCTTCATCAGTTCAAAATTTTGCGGCACTGCACCATTCGACAAACAAGTTTAAACTCGTGCAGCCGCGCCCGACACAAAATCCTTTAGATGCGCCGTTTTGTTCCTGATCACTGGTTACAAAGCCTTAACGCCAACTGTTCCTGATCGCTGGTTACAAAGCCTTAATGCCAACCGTTCCTGATCGCTGGTTACAAAGCCTTAATGCCAACCGTTCCTGATCGCTGGTTACAAAGCCTTAATGCCAACCGTTCCTGATCGCTGGTTACAAAGCCTTAATGCCGACCGTTCCTGATCGCTGGTTACAAAGCCTTAACGCCAACTGTTCCTGATCGCTGGTTACAAAGCCTTAACGCCAACTATTCCTGATCACTGGTCACGAAACCTTTACGCCAACAATACAAGCTGTTAGGTCCATCGGACCCTTTCGGTGCTCAGCAATTCGCTTTATGACAGTGCGCCTAGCATCGAACCGAACGCAGATAAAGTATAATAAACGTGTCCCGACCAAACTTTCTATATCCCTAGACCTAGATTTAAATCACGCCTAGCTAGACACACCTACACACCAACACCCATACACGCCGCACCAAGAGCTCCGTAGACAAACCGAACATGCTCGCCGAGCCGGCCGGCACCGACGGGGCGCCGGAACGTCCACTCACTCCTCCAGGTCTCCAGCTTGTGCTCCTCCAGCTCCTCGATGCGCTCGTCCGAGTTGCGGTAGTACATCTGCAGGATGCGGATGAAGTCGGTGATGGTCAGCATGCCGACGTACTGCTGCTTCCTGCTGTCCCAGAGCGGCGCCGCGCGCACCCCTGCCGGCCGAGGCGCGCCGCCGGTCAGTGACGTCACGCGGACACGACCGGGCACATCGGCGGGCAGAGGTGCGCCGTCGCGGACGGGCGCGAGACACGCCACACACCGACGCCGCGACGGTGCCCGAGAACAGCTGGTTTGCAATACTTCCACCGTTGTCAACGACGCCACCTGGCAATTTCATCCCAAACACTCGACGGGAGAAAACAACCCGACGACGACGGCCTTTCAACACACCGAAGCATGACGGCGTTCTGAGCAGCGGTGGGCCAGGCGCTTCCCGGGACCTGTGTGCCCTTCCACGCAAGTCGGCCGCCGGTCCGGCGACCGGGGGCTTCGGACCCGGGCGGCACGTTGTGGCCAACCGGAACCCGGCCCGAGCCGCGCCGCCACCAGACAGTAACGGTGCTGTCACGCGACGCACCAACATGGCATTCGGGCGTCATCGTGGAAGATGCCCGACTCGATACCGCGCCGCACCGGCGACGGCGCCTCATCACCGCCGAGACCCGCACGTCATCGAGCCGCTAAAGGCCCGCGCACGTCATCGGAAAGTGCGACCCTCGATAGCGCCCGGTAAAATTTGGATCGGGCACTGCCGCGATAAGAGCTGCCGAGTCGGACTCGTCGCGTCGGGCGACGGTCGAGTGGCCGGCGCCAGACAGACGTCCCTCCGTCGCGCGACAACCTGCCTGCGAGAGCGGCGTCCGGCAGCCACGGAACCCACTCCACAAGCACACCTGAGCACATCTGGCCGATTACAACACGGCAGCCTGGGCCATAGGCGACCACTTACTCATGCCCTGAAAAGCGTGGCACGGTTAAGGCGTGGAGCGACAGCACGAGCGTCCGGCCGCTAAAAGCTCTGTCTTTTACGACGCGTGTGCAATGGGCGCAGATGCCGCCGCTCCAGTGGTGCAGCTCGCGGGCCACGCGCAGGTGAACCGCTGGCGAGTCACGCCTCCTCGACACGGTACGAGAGTGCGCGCCGGCCAGCGTCGACCGGTCGCTGTCCGCGCGGGAGCGGCACAAACGCCGCAAGAGACAGAGGCCGACGCTCCCGGTCCCGGTCAGACGCAGCCCCCCCCCCCCCTCTCTTTACGGAGCTGCGGCACAGCGAGGACCGAGGACCGAGCACGAGCCCCCTGCCCCCTCCCTCCCCCGACTGGTCAGCAGCATGTTCCGAGCAGCAACGGTGGCTCAGCCCTGGAGGGCGGCTGACAGCACGGCTGGGATCAGGTCACCAGATCGCCAACACGGCTGGGAGAGGTCCCGAGCCGCGGCGCAGTCCACGATCGAGCCCCGCCGTACCGGAGCCTCCCCCCCCCTCCCCTCCCTCCGCCGGATCGGCGTCTGTCGGGACGACACAGCTGTTCCGCGAACGAGCCGAGCGCTAAGCTCCCCACCGCCGAACAGTCAAACGAGAATGCCGCGGGGCTCTTCACGGAACTCAGAATCCACAAGGCGGAGGTCCCCTCACCCGGGCGGTCTCGCCGCGTGTCGTCCGACGGCCGGCGCATTACGACAATGCAAAAAGACCGGTTCGCAACGGGATGACTTGGCAAAATTATGTTACTGACACGTGCCAAATGGTTGGCCTGCACCATAAGTCTGTCTCACAGGGTGCTCGCTGCGCCTGGAAATCTTGGAACAACATAAGTTCCCGGGATCTGACACTTCACGGGTAGATTCTCTGGCATGACTGCAGACGATGTCGGCTGCCATGTAAGGTGCGGCACTCCTGCAACGTGAGCGCGTTAACGGGATTAGCGGAAAACAATGGTTGACAATAATTGTAAATAAGAAATCATTCGGCGAGAGCGAGCAGGCGGGCAGTCCGCGCAGCCTCACGGCCTAGAGAACACGAACGTCAAGTTCAGTCATTCAGCCCTTCACCGCACCGCGGTCCCCTCAAAGCACGAGCCATCGCCGGGTCGGGCACGCACCATTGTACACAAGGGCGAAGAACGCCTTCTTGACCAGCAGCTGCGTGTCGAAGACCACCAGCTTGGCCGAGGTGGGGATCAGGTCGTAGCACTTGTGGAACTTGAAGAACTTGATGTAGATCTGCGACTCGTCCTCCTCTGCAAGGCAGAAACACATCGGTCAGCTGAACAGGCCTGGCACGCCCCTCCAGTACCAGCAGGGCGAACAGCAGACTGAAGCTTCTCACTGAAAACAAACATTTGGGAGGCTTATAATTGTATCAGGCAAATCGGGAACGATTGTGCCGCGCAAGAATGCGGACAATTGGCTACATCTGATGGCGGCCGTTCCCTGGAAAAGCCAATCACGTCACACTAACGGACATGCCGGGAGGCGCCGTGCTGTGAAACAGCTTCTCACAACCGGGGGCGACGGGCTGAAACGCCAACCAACCGCGACAAGGGCGCACGTCCCGGCGCCGCGCGCCGAACGCGCCTCCACGCAGCCAACAGACACAGACACCTGCGGCGGCCGAGGCGACACAGGCCGACGCCACGCACCAGACGCAGACGTCGAGAACAGGCGGCGGCGTGGCACCGCGTGTCGGTGGCCTCACCAAGGTCCGCACGCGACGGCGGAAGCAGCCGCGGTCCGGCGCGCCCGTCGCACTGCCAAACCGACGCACGAGCAGGCAGCGCTCGTCGGCCTGTTGGCATGCCGTCCGGGCCGCGCCCGCGAAACCCGGCCGACGGCGGGCGGCCGCCGGCTCGCCAACGCCCCGGAGCGCACGATGCGCCCGGCATTTGGCCGGCGCAACAAGGACTGTGACCACAGCCATCCCGACGCGCGGCGGGACTGACCCCGCACCCCAGTGTGCGACGGCGCCGACCCGGCACCCCGGCTCACGACGGCGTCGACCCGGCATCCCAGCGCACGAGGGCGTCGACCCGGCACCCCGGCTCACGACAGCGTCGATCCGGCACCCCGGCTCACGACGGCGTCGACCCGGCACCCCGGCTCACGACGGCGTCGACCCGGCATCCCAGCGCACGACAGCGTCGACCCGGCATCCCAGCGCACGAGGGCGTCGACCCGGCACCGGTTCACGACGGCGTCGACCCGGCACCCCGGGGCACGGCGGGATCGGCCCCGCGACGACTGGCGATAAGAGATGAGCGGAGACGGAACGCGATGTGGGACCCCGTTGGACTCGAGGAGGCTGCATGCTGGCGGGACGTGCGGCGGCTGTTCCTGCGTCACGTGTCTCAGTCAGCGCCGCTGCCGAGCCAGCGCAGCAGCTGGGCCTCTGGGAGCTGGGAGCTGGGAGCTGGGAGCCGTCAGCTGGGAACCGACAGAGGTCGACGCTGCGCCACTAAGGTACGGCACAACCAACATCCATCTGTCCTGCAGCCTCGGACATCGCCACGAGTGGCGGCCGCGCCCTGCGGCCTTCCAGAGCTGCGTACGCGTGAGGAACGTCCGGGCGTGGACTGAGGCACGGACTGCTCACAAATCGAACGTCACGCCGTTGCGCGTCTGGACGGTTGCAATCACAAGGCCGACCCGGAGACCACCGTGCCGCCGAGGGCGGCGCGCCTGCCAGTGAGGCGGCAGCTGGGACGGAGCCGCGTCAACCTCCGGCGCGGCCTGCGGTAGCGACCGGCGGCGCCAGGCCCGGGCAGCCGGCGGCCGTCCAGCCGCCGCTAGCGCCCGGCCGGCCGGGCGCGCCGCCAGCCGCGGCCGCCAGTCGGTCGCCGCGCCGCCGCCGGCCCCAGAGGAGCGCGCCGCTCGCCGCACAGCCGCCGCTCCGTACCAGCGCCACGGCCAGCGGCGCGGTGGCCCGACGCGCACGGAACGCCGCGCTGAGGCTCGCACCAGCGCCAGCACCGCCAGTCACCAGCACCAAGGCCTGGCGCCGCGGCCCGACCCGCACAAGACGTTGCGCCGAGGCTCGCACCAGCACCACCGCCACCAGCAACCGGCATCAGGACCCGGCGCGGCGACCCGACCCGCACAAGACGCCGCGCCGAGGCTCGCACAGCGACAGCGCAGCACCTCTGGCCAGCAGATCCAGCAGCTCGTCGGCCGTCTCCGGTTCCAGCGGGTCCCACTCTTGGATCTGGCTCAGCCGGTACGTGTCGCCGTCGGGCCGCTGCTCCAGCTCGAAGAAGTTGGAGTAGATGTTGAGGCACAGCATGGCTGCCGGCGCCGGGCCGCCTCGGCCGCGGCCGGCGGCGCGCACGCGCCCGGAGGCCGAGGGGGCCGGCGCGGGGGGAGGGGGCGACGGGTCGGCGCGGGGTCGACACGACGGCCACACGCGCGGCACAGGTCACATCGGGGGACGCGGTGCCGCCGACGGCACGCTGTCGCGGCGTCTCCTATCGATGCCGGTCGATGCCGCTCCGACGCAACTGCCGACGAACGGCCGGCGCGCTAAAAATACGGGACAACGGCCCCGGGCGGCGGCCAAGAGCGGGCGCCGGCGGCCCGGCGCGGCCGGGGGCGGGGCCGACCAAGGTCGCGCCGCCCGCCGGTCACCGACCAAGGTCGCGGCCGCTGCAGGTCATCAACCGGATCAGGTCAGCCAGCGGCCGCCGGCGGCCACGTGTTGATGGGCCCCATCGAGGCACGGTGGCGAACGGGTCCGAAACTCGCGGCTGCGGGGTGCCCAAGTCCGTCCTCATGCATAGCGTACTTTGTTTATGGGTTTGTTTATACTATGCACGCCACGTATGGGGTTGTTTACACTATGCAAGGCCGCTGATACATATCGCGACGGTAGCCATCAGCTGATTCCTCAAAATTTCGGTACTAAGCGCAACAAAATAGTAAAAGAAATGCAAATGTAACTAAGCCCGTATAATTTACCGTGGCGGGCTCTGCCAGATGGACGGAACTACTAAAAACTAATTATTATCCCTCCCCCCCAAAAAAACGGAGAACAAATCGACTGAACGCACCCCACATTCTAGAAAAAAGCTACAAAGATTCGACAAATTGCGTCCTTGACCGAACCATCTACTTTGGCGCTGTCCCGCTCCACGTCTGCACAGCACCGCACAAATAATCAGCAGCATCAGCGCCGCAGGCCGTTGAATCATGTAACAATCATTTGACCCGATAGCCAGGAAATCCCAAATCAATAGCAGTTACCAACAGATAGTTCTGGGCCACACCGCAAGCTAGTATCTTTCGTCAGGCAACAACACACCATACAGCGAACAGCCGGCACGCGATAGCCGGGGCTGGGAGCGACACGTGACACGTGAAGACGCGTGCTCAGACACGCGGCCGCGTCACGCGCGGTCGACTGCCACAGCAGGACGTCTCCCTCCCCCGGTCTTGGCCGAGCGTTGTCCAGCGACGCTGCTCACAGAGAGGTTCCCGACGGCGAGCCGGCCCGTCCGGACCGTATGAATAAATTCATCGGATCCAACGACACGCTTCGAGCGCTGGGACAGGTCGAGACGACGCCGCCCAACCGACGGCGACAGCTTGCCACAACGGAGCCATCAAGCGGGCCCGTGATGGAAAAAGTCACGATGAAATATCACCCCACATTGCGCAAAACGTCTAACAACAATCGCAGACGATTTTTCTCATTTAACCTAAGCTGCACGGCCTTGCATCAGCCCCGGAGGAGCCGGTCTCGTCGCGAGCCAGACATCGTGCCCAATCTCAGTGTGTCCCGGCCTGCGGAGACGTCCTCGGCGCACCTCTCGCGGCCGGTCGAACCCTCTCTGCTGACTGGGCGGGCCCGAATCGCCGGCAAATCAATGGCCGCGTCTCCAGCCGCCCAGCCCTCAGCCGCGGTTAGCGACGGCCTGCACGGGCGGCGCGCGCCCGGCCGCCCGCGCCCCTGATCCGCCACCGGCGCCGGACCGTTTGCTTGGCAGACGGCAGCAGCCAGGTCCGCCTGCGGTCACCTCGCCCCGGCCTGAGGCGGCGGCGACGGCGGCGCCGTGCGACAGCGCCCGACGGCATCAGCAACAGCAGCTGCTGGCGGCTGGCCCACGGCTTCAACGCATCCAACCACAAGGCCGGGCGTGGCAGCCACTTGTGGGCAGGGGTGGGCGGGCATCAACTGATGTGCCAGGACAGCTGGGCGCCTCGCCTTCCGGCCAGTCTGGCGGCGCCCCGAGGGTCGCCAGACCTCTGAGCTGTGGCGCCGTTGGGGTCTCGCCAGACGTCCGACGGGCAGCTGGCACTCGAATCCGGCCCAGATATCAGACCTGCATCCCGTGTCAACGCCGTCATGGAATGACAACGTTCCGCGTGCTGTTTCCAGCGCGCGGCGCCCGGCCGTGGTGATTGGGGCACCAACGTCGGGGAATGAGCTCTCTGCGTCACATGTTCCACCCATCAACCTGAAACCATAAGAGCATCCCTCTTTTTCGTCCTTGGTGCCGAGCCGCACACGGACCGCCGCAATCGTCCTAGTCTTACAAAGTTGCCGTACCGGAGAGACACCATCTCGGTCGACAGGCGTTTTGAGGTGTTCGAGGGGGATCGCTTGGGGAAAACCTGAATCCGAAATGCTACAGCATATACTTAATGTTCAGTCATGATCACCAATCTCACATGTGCGCAGGAACAGCGATCATGAGACGATGATACGAACGAACAGAGTAGAAGAACAGGGATGGAAACAAAGGGAAGAGCGAGGGACAGAAGAGAAGCGGCGAAAGAGACGTCTGATAATTTGCACGGACGCCGCTAGAGCGCGACAGCTGTAATCGAGAGAAGACCAGGCCAGACCAGACCAGACCAACCGACCAGAGCTTGTTAAGCTGTGCCTTCTACAGACGAGAGAGGGCAGAGCGGGAGTTAGTGGTGGGGCGGGGGCGGGGGCGGGGGCGGGAGAATTGGAGCACGCGCCGAACCGGGCCGCGCTGCTCCCGGCCGGTTGGAAAATCAATCGGCACCAGCCAGCACCGGCAGCCCGGGCCGCCCCAGCAGGGACCGGCCCGGCACCAGACGAAAGCTGGCCAGCTCCTGCCGTGTGGGTGCGTGATGATCTCGGGGCAGGGGAGTACCGTGCGCCGCTCTCACGCGGGGAGAGTCCACCAGCGACTTTCGAGCACCGAACCAGTAAACTTCCACAAGGGCGCCAAAAGAAATGTGTCCCAGCCTGACCGCTCCGCGTTCGCCGCTGGCG